GTCTAAAAAATTAAATTGTATCATTAGTACTATATTTAAAATATAAGTACATTAATATGTATAATATTTACCTTGCAACTGCATACTCGCCAGCAGAATCTGATACATAACAATTAATTTTTATGTCTTTTTCTTCGGCATCATCTATTATACCTTTAATAAGGAGTTTCACATCCTCAGTTCTTAATCGTTGATCACTAACGTCATGTATATTCCAAACCAAAGCTTCACTCTGAGAAGTAATGAAGACGACACCAAAAAGATGCTCCTGCTTGATGTTTGTTCAGCCATCAAAGGCTGCAGTCACTTCAATTTTATCAACAGATGCATGTTGTGAAATTTCGTCCATTAATTTTTTTGAAAGTTTTGGCAAAATTCAATCTCCAATTGCTTGTCGATTGGGTAGCTTTAAAGATGGCATGATGAACTTAAAAAGATCTTGCATTTCTTGATTCTCCATAAAAGTAAAGGAAAAGCCATTTGATACAATTATACGTAATGCCAAGTTTTCAAAATACAGTTTGTCTTTTTCTGATAGTGGACGTGCGATATAATTCATGATAAATCCTTGTCATTTTATTTTTGGAGTGGAAATACTGGTATGTGATTTTGAGATTTTGGAGGTTGTGGAAGTTGGTGCGGAAATTTTATCTTCAGATTCAGAATCAATATTGGTCACTACTGCTATATTTCAAAAAATATAAGTTGATGATTAAAACACATCATTTAATCAATAAAAATCAATAAAATTATCTCAGCTACTTTTTTTTTTAGTGTCTTCAGATACTGATCGTGCACGAATCTCCAAAACCTCATCTATGCTATATTCTGCTTCAAAATTTTGACACTTTCGAAGATGATTTTGACATAATTTTGCCTTGTTAGAAACAAAGCACTCAGGATTTGTAAGAGCAAGTGGTAAGGTATGCTTTCGTATACATGAAAGGCAAACTGCCTTTTTATTTGCTTTTTTTGTCGTGGGTTCGGCCAGATAAAAAAATTCCCGAAAATTATGTCCTTTTTTACCTATTGTAAGCTTTCTGCAAAAAAAAGATTATTTTCCGATAATTTAAGAAACACAAGATATTGGGCACGAGGATCATTAATTCGGTATACAAGATCCTTTCGAATTTGGTACATATTCTTACCGCCGACGAACAAATTTTCTCAATTACATTTTTTTTTGAGGATCAGATCAATGTATGTTTAATGTTGCTGAATTCCAAATTGGTAGAATTTACAACAACGTTGCAGCAAGTTCCTATCACTGCAGATTCCCAAAACGGCAAAGTTTTTAGCATTACAATTGTCAACAATGCTGCAGATTCCATCACGATTGTTCACAATGCCCAAAACTGGCAAAGTCTTTAGCAGCTAAATTACATCAACAACACTGCTGTAGATTTTTCCGTCACGAATATCAATAAATGCAATCTATAGACTTTACAGCATGATGACATGCTGATAAAAACAACAAGCTTTCCCTTTTGATATACAACATGGAATTGTGCCATTTCCCGCATTGTTTACAGTGTCCCCTCGTCATTTTTCAGCATCTCCTCATCGTTTTCAGCATCTCCTCATCATTCTTCAGCATGATTCCGTTAGTTTTTGATTTATTCTGCAATCAATTTCTTCTATGGATCATAGAGCGTCCGTCATAAACGTTCTTTTCTTTATTATATATATATATATATATATATATAGCAAAAGTAATGCTTCTTTTGTTTAATAGTAATAGATAGAACGATACATACATGTAATAATACAAAAAAATGTATAAAAGAATGATCTACGGGCTACAGAAAGAACAGAATAAAAATTGTGTACAATTCTTCTCCAAGCAAAATACAGCTTGAATCTTTGTGTACAACTATTCTTAAAAGTGAATTATTGCTTGTAAAACTCTTTCCCCTTTCCCCACATTATTCGTGATATCGTATTACTTGTTGGTTAGGTCCTTTGTACCAGAAAAGGTGTAGTTTTTATAGAATCGCATTGTTAACGAAAAACCATTTTTGTGTAATTACCATTGTCATTATTATTTTTAAGAGTTTAAGGCTTTTGTCTAGAAAAAGCAACGATTGTTAGTAATATTTTTAAGAGTTTAAGGCTTTTATCTATAAAAAGCAATAGTAAAAGAATCCCCCAACACTCATCTGAAACACATAATCTCTCTCTCTCCCCCTCTCCAATCGACATAATCAACGATATCAGCACAGACTTTAGATATCAAACAAATATTACACAGTCTAACAATTTCTCCCAAAGTTTTGTTGCGTCAGAAAAACTTCAAATCACCCCACATTAATTATAAGCGCAACAATATATTTGCTAATTATTAACGACACACTCTTCATGTTTAAAGGTTTCTGCTTGACTAAATAATAATCATGTGCTTAGATTAATATAACCAACCAAAATGACCCAAATGACTCGAGTCATTTGCAAATGACCTAGGTCATTTGGTCACGAGTCATTTGCAAATGACCCGGAATTCAAATGACCGAAAATGACCAGTCATTTCGATGTCATTTGAGGTTATTTGCAAAATGAGCAAATGACCCGGTCATTTACCATCACTGCTTGATAAAACTTATTGTTTGTATTATCACCTTTGAAATTCTAAATAATATACAAAACTTAGTGAAATTATTGAACGTTATTCTAGCTCATCACAACAAGAACACACGTTACCTACCTTTAGTGATAAATCTTAGTCTCTCCCATTATAAAGACTTAATCTTTTTGTCTTTATTTTAATAAAACACGTGATTAATACGCCTAGAACTTAATATCAAATAAAAATGGTAACAGATTTTGATGCCCTCTCTGTGAAAAAGATAACTTTACACTGTCAAATCATATTTGAACAAAGAACCCTCTGTAAGTAAAAGTATTACACCAAAGAAAATTAACTTGGATTAAGAATCCTCTGTGGAAGAACAAAAACAAATTATCAACAAACAAACCTTTTTCAATCTGGATCTCACAAAATCAACTGATATTAAAGTTAAAAGATTATTTCAAGAAATAATTACTGGAGTATTAACTGCAGAACAATATTCTAAAAAAGACCTCAAAGTTATTTTTAATAGCTTCAAAGCATTTCATAGAGAAATAATCCACAAACACACATTAACTACAGCAAGAGAAGCATTTGCAGAATTATTAGAAGAAGAAACTGAATTAACTGGACCAGAAGTT